ATAAGAAAGATATCTATTTATAGGAGCTCTAGTAGTGTAGTGCCTAAGGCTGTTAACCAAAAGGCTGGCAGTTCAAACCTACCAGCCACTCCTCGGGAGGAAGGTTGCGCAATCTACTTCCATAGTGATACTGCCTTGGAAACCCAAGGAGGGGTCGCTATGAGTTGGGTCCGACTTGACAGCACATGACAACAACACAGTAACAGCTCTTATTTTCTCAAGCCAATATAAAATTTTTGTTAAGTAGGCTGAATAAAGAATTAACCCTAAAGGTGTATTTTCTATTTGCTACTTTTAAAAGGCAGAAGAATTTATGAAACACTGGAAGCAAACACCAGATGATAAGAAAATTCTGAAAAAACAATCAATATGACCTCAAATCCATTTGACCACAAAAATCTAAATTCAAAATGATATTCACATATTTTTAAAAGAAAGAAAGAAAGAAAAACCTATTTCTGACATTTTGGAATGTTACCTAAAACTTAAGATTATATAATTTATTTAGCCTGGTATATTCTTATAAAATCATCACTGGTAATGAGTGGTATGAGTCCAACTTTCAACTCGTTAATTCACTAAATCAGGGGAATGTTAATTCTCCAAAGACCCAGTATTGTGATTATTGCAACACTGGTCTGTAACAGAATTTGGCTTGCACTTAGTTTTGTAAAACCAAACATGTTGGCAGTTAAATTTATATTCTTTCTTTGTTTATTAAGTTACTTCTATTGTGTGGAAATCAATAATGGGGCCTAAAAAAAATCCTCATGTGGTCCTATTAGGTTCTAAATGAGATGTTTCACTCCAACAGTTTACTTAGCCTGAAAGTAAACAGATTAAACTTGCTTCCTCCTGGGATTAAGCCATACTTTAAAATTCCCAGACAGATGATTGTTTTAACATGTCATTCTAACTAGAATCACAATGATAGTGATTTTTAATATTATGAAGAGAATCTGTTCTGATGAAACCAAAGAATTACAAATTACATTTTTGCAAATTAAGACTCTAGGAGAAAAGATCTAATCAGTGAAGAAGAAATTCTTAGTAATATATATTTACAAATGAGAGCTGTGCAAACAAAGATTTCACCCTCAAGGTAGCTGAATAGTAGCTGCCATCCATAATGAGTGGGTAAACTTATGCTAAACAGGCTGCAGACATTGACCACAGTTTACCACAATGCAATAGCTCCCCTCCCACTTCCTCCCCATAGATACCTCTTCCCAGTGTCCATCCCTCCATG